CAGCATATTTGCATGCATGTGAGAATGATTCAATAGAGAAAGAAAACTAGTGATGTTGGAGAGATATGGTATCACATTTAGTGCACAAGGGAAGGGACATTGCTTTACTTTAGATGGATATAGGGCAGAGTGTGTGGGTGCAGGTTCTGGAAGATGGATAGCTGAGATGGTGGGAGTATGTTGAGGTTTTCTTCTTGTTGCTTTAGTTTTCTCCAAATAGAAAGCAAGGTCGTCTACTGAGAATGAGCATTTGGGAAGTTGTGATAGGGTTTGGAGGAGAGAGAAGGCGTGAATAGTTAAATAAGGAGAGTGTACAAACTGGGGGAAGTACAGTAAGCTTATCTGGCTGCCTTAAAGAGCCCACTTTAAAGTTTTTGGTCACAAACTTAAAGTGAAACTAGCCACTAGGTTGCTCTATTCACGGATACAGTGTAGGCATGGAGCAAGTGAGGAGAAAGATTTAACTAGAGTTTCAGGGGGTTGTGAATGTATGTAAGAAAGATATTATTATAACGATTGACCACAGAATTTAAAGCTGGTAAGTAAAGAAGAGAGGAAATAAAGGTGATTGGGGAGAGTGAAAAGTGGTTGGATCAATAGATTGGAAATCTCTGTGGGATCAAAGGCTAGTGGAATTTAGCTGACAGAAAAGGGGTAGTGGTTAAAAAACACAAGAGGGTTGTATACTGTAAGGAGTCATTTCCTTAACTCAAGTCAAAGGATAAATCCATTTTGTTTTATTGTATTCCATTATCGATATATTTGGGGTGAGCCTTCTTTTTGTGTTTGTATAAGAGGCGGTATGTTGTGTAATAATCTAAGCCATAGTGGTTAGGAAATTGATTCTAGTCTTAAACCATCCAGCAACTGGCTCTGAGACCTGGGACACTTCTTCTGGTAGACATCAGTTTCCTTGTCTGTAAAAAAGAGGGTAAAGTCCCTGTCTCAGAGCAGCAGGTCAGCTTTGACAGCCTTCAAAACATCTCACCTTGTGCGGAAGAATCGTACCCAGTAAACTCTAGTAGTATGTTGCCTCTGTGCACTCTACCTTTTATCTCAGTTGGTGGCCAGTTGCCTCTCTGTTTTATGTCAGCCTTCTGTTCTTTCTATTCCCCAGTAAGTGACCAGGTTCTGTGGTTGTTTCCTATTGGTAGTTGCATAGTTATGGTAAAACCTTTTCTCCTTGCACTGATCCTATCTCTGACCATCTCATGCCCAAAAAGAACTCTACTAACTTCTGGCTCCTGTGGCTCTCTGAGTTCACCAACTGCTGCTATGACTTACCATTTCCCAAGGTTCCAGCTTCAGCCGTCTCTTCTCACTCTTTCCTTTCCCCGAGCGAGCTCATTCAGTCTCATGCTTTACCATCTTCCATGTGTCTGTATTTCTAGGTCCACTTTTTCTGAACCCAGACCCGTATTTCAAGCTACCTACTAGAATTCCCACCTGGATGTCCTCCAGGTATGTCACACATAAAACTAAATTTATCATCCTGTTCTTAAATGTGCCTTTTCCTTATTGTTATGTTTCTTAGCTTCTAATATCTATATCCAACCAATTGCCCAGAAACCTGGAGTTATCCTCAAATTCTACCCTTTCCCCATACCCCATATTCCCTTAACTGTACTATATCTATCCTACACAAAATAAGTTCTTTCTGTCACTATTGTGACTGCTTTAGTTCTATCCATCACATCTCAAATTCTTCTAATCCAGTGTGCACACCTTAACAACATTTAATTCTCTAGAATGCAAATCTGCTCACCTCATTTTCCTGATCAATTGCCTGAAATAAATTTTCATTTTCTGTGGAATGAAGTCCAAACTTTTGAGCACACCACAATCTGAGTCCACCTTACATTGTTTTATTTTGGTACACATTCCCCGCCTCCCTTCCCTCCAATTTCCAAAGTAATGCATGCTTAGTGCAGCAAATCTGGAAGGCAGAGAAGCAAAAAGAGATTAAAATAAAATTACACATAACTTCACCACCCAGAGGTGGTCAGTGTTATCATTTTGGTTAACACTATCCTTTTCAATATAGACACATGCAAATGCTTTTTATTTCATACTGAACATTTCTCTTGTTGGTCTATATAATAACAATGCATGCATAGTCTTTCATATATTTA